TCCGGCTATATATATCAATATTTAATAATAAAAAAAACGGCAATTTCGTTTATTATACAAAAAAAGAAGAAAAACATAAGGAAAAGAAAATATATATATTTTTTAATTTAATATTATTCTTTGATTAATTATATTAAATAACATATATTATTGGGGTTATTAACGACATATTCCTCACGATATCAATATTGTATAAAATATATAATTTTGGATATTAAATATATTTGTGTTATTTTCGGGGCGGGCCCCATTACGACAGTGTTTGGTGTACTTCCTGCTAAAGTGTCAACCCGAATTGTGTCCGTACCGTACATCATACATTTAATTTTAATTTCTTTTCGATCCGGTTCCAATGACAACAAGAAATTTTCCAGTGGCAATATGCATTGAACAAATGATAATCTTATAGTTAAAAGAAATATCAATCTGATTTCATGTGTTTTTCGTTTGTTCTGGATGGGCTTTTCATGGCTTTATTATTTTCGCATATGTTCAAGGTATGCAGACCCTGGTCAGCAAAGTATCCCAAAAAAGTCACGTCAAAAAAAACCCGGCAATACTAAATATATATTGGACGGACATTGGTTTATGGAAATTGATGGAAATGGATGTCCTTTCCGTGAACCTAGGGTTTTCGAGATTGCTCAAATAGGATCAAATAAACAAGATCTCAGCCCCAAGACCTCAGTACTACAGCAGGCCATAGGTAAAGGCCTAGTATTTAGAAGTCTTGGGCCGACAAAGACTGAGATACATCGGGATTCGGAAGGGTTTAAAACCTATGATCTATGATGCCAGATTTGGGGGCATAAATATCAATTTGCCAGCTAGGTTGTTGACCAGGGATGACCAGGGTACCGGGGTTTTGGATGGTAGGCTCATACCAACGTATATTGATGATAATAAAGCACACATATTTGAAGAAAATACAACTGAATCATCACAATCTTAGGGGCAAACCAACAAATTATAGTTTGCATACCGGTTTCATCCGTTTTCTTTGATGTCATGGCATGGGTTGCCTGACGTTTCGTCCAAGTTATCGGTGAAACTTCACGCGTGCAATTGCATTGAGGTTGCCATTTAGCAAACCTGGTGTTTCTCTTTGGAGCTGCCATCCTTCCAACAAAGCTGGAAAATCATGGAAAATCCACAAGAGTGTGAACTTTCCGATCCAAGTCAGCTCCAACTATCTTTGTTTTTCTGGAAGCCCTGCTGCTGGTGACGCGGCAAAGAACACGGCTGATCATGGGCCCTGCTCCCACTTGTACTTCGAATGCATTCATTTTTAGGCTTAAAAAGGAAGAACCATGGGAACAAGGTGTGGCACCATTGGCAAAATAGAGCACAATATGTTGATAGCCATTCATTTCATCCCTTAGTTCGGGGACATCAAATCCTTGGTCTTCCCAGCGCCACCGCTTCAGCCCTTGACGGCTGCAGGCTCTTTCTGCCACATGGCAGCCAATCTGGGATCCTCTTGAAGCATTCGTTCCAGCTCCTGGAGCCATTGGACGAGCTAATGGGGAAGGGGCAGCTTCATGAAAGTGGCGCTTGTTACAGCCAAAAACAGCTCACAAATAGATGACTGACTATTATATAGATCTTCGAAAGGACACAAATAATTCTCCGTTTGCAAGATTTCTGCCCTTAGGGCGGATTTCTTGTGAAGGAGCTGGAAATGGTCATTTTTTGACTACTGTGGTCAATTTTGGTTTTCGTACCTTTTGGGCTGATCTTACTCTACTTTGCGTAAAAATGTGTCGATTGTTCTGGGCGGAAATTCCCGGGAAAAGGGCGGAAATACCTGGGCAGACTCAACATGACTTAAACATGAGAACATGAAGTGGTATTTGTTTTCTTGAAATGGTATTTTTTATTTTGAAATGGTCAAATCTACAGAAAATAAATCTGCCCTGGAAAGAAATTTGTAACCAACGAATATCCAGGATATATATATAATATACATATGTGTATGTGTGTGTGTGTTTTTGTCAGTGATGTTCATGTAACATGATGTAACCCAGATGTCCGCAAGCACCGTAGAAGACAACTATCCCAAGCCCAAGGCCCAGGCCGCGAGTCCCCATACCCCGGTGCGACGTCGTCCTGGAACTTTTCGATGGCCTGCATCTCGTGCCGAGCCAGGCGCTGCTCCAAGATCTGCGTGCGGAACATGGCCTCGTCTTGATACCTGTGGTCTGAGGGGTGAGGGACCGGGAAAGACCCTAGAAAACTGCCTCAGAAAACTGGGAATATATTCCATATATGACTGAGTTGTAGTATGATTATATTATGATTTTAGTATGGTTATAGTATCGTTATAGTATGGTTTGGGTATGGTTATAGTATGGTTCTTAGCCACTTGCCAACTGGAAACCCAGTTGGGAATTGGTGGTGCGTTTAAAGAGGGAAAACGGTTATGACCACTGTGGCTAGGGATAGCTGCATAAGTGATGTGCATTCATACACTTTGGTGACTCTAGCATGACAGATGTTTATCTACATATTGGGTAATATATAGCAAATAAATGCAAATACAGTAACATACAGTTATATATGCTTCTAGACTATTTATATACTGATGCTATACAAAAGAAAACAAAAATACTTATAGACTATGAAGCTCACATCTGAGTATGTAATTCGTACATGAAGACTACATATATATTCGTAAGCTGAATCTTTATTTTTTCTAGATTCTAAATCTGATCTGTCGGGCCATGAATTTCATGGTTTCCATATCCACAATCAGTTACAAAGGGCTTGGTCGGCCATAAGGTTGCTAATCATTCAAGATATGATGATCAAATCATCTTAAATAATGGTTGGTGCACTTCAAACCACTTAAAAAAAATAACACTCAGTGGGGGTTCATTATCCCCGGCAGGCTGCAAGGATGGAGAGTAAAAGAACATAGCAATTGAAAATCTCCTATATATATATATGTGTAAATAGGTTTCAATGGGAAAAAACAGTTAAAACATAGGATGTTCCATTACCATGTTTGGTTACCAGAGGGTATATCAATCCCTCCCATTTTTTGCAACTTCCATTCCAGTTGGTCTTTTTGAACATTCCCCACTTTATCGTGGCTACCTTCAAATAGCCTGCAAAAATTGTGGCTTCGACACTGCGCTACATTGTGCTACCCTGTTGTTTCGGCATAATCAACCCATCAACCAAGCTTGTTAGTGTTGGTCAAAATCCAATTGTTCATGCTCAAAAAAAAACTCCGCAATTGATCTTGTTCTTGGTTAGATCCATCTTAAACCAACCATTTGCCAATGCTCACCCATGACTGTATTCTTTCTATTACCATTCTAGCGAGTTAAACTCAGAATTGTCTCGTGGCTTGTTGATATCCCTAGTGTTAACGATTAGACATCCCCAATTAAAAACAAAACAATCCTTCCCAGAAAAATTGAGCACCCCAATCGAAACTGCTTAGGTATTGGATCTGTATGGACATGATTGGAAATGTATTGTGGCTGCAAGCATTCGATGTTGGGGGATGACTTACCACCCATATCAGCAAATATCATCCCCCATAGTTGATGGTCCCCATTATTTTTGATGCTTAAGTTTATTCAATTTCCAACGGATCATCAAGGCACCAGCAAGCTATCCGATGGTGTGAAATGTCCAAAGGCTTTCTTCAAGGCTACCCATATTCCCATCTTGTAGTCTCCATTGGTTAGTCCTGAAATCCCTACTTTTTCACGGTGAAGCCCCCAATTTCCAACGACTTATCCCATGGAACCATGGAACCCCACTGCTCCAAGCAGCGCAGCGAAGGCTTGCTCGTCCTTCTCCACCGAATCCCCTCTGCGTTGCATCTGTGCACGCCGCTTCCGAAGTAGTTCCTGCTCTTCCTGCGTCAAACGTTGGGATTTCACCGGTGAGGATCGAATGGGCCATGGGTTTTACGTGTGGGAGTCTATCATTCAACGGTGAACGTTGGGATGTTCGACTTGTTACTCGTGACGATTGGTAAATGCCATATGGTTGAATTCTACCAAATTCATAGTCGTAGATTAGAGTAAACCAACTTTTCCCTTGATAAATTGGTGAAAAGCCAAGGAGCATGCCGATTTTACTCACATGTAATGTATATTTTACGAACATTTGGGATTGAATTTCCTGTGATATGAGTTTTAGTATGTCTTATATAATCCCCTATTGAACTTGATTTTGAGGGGTGAAAATTGGGAGTGTAGCCATCATCTCCTTGGTGTGTTGGGCCCCTGCTCAACCTGCAGAGTTTTGCTAAGTTATAAACTAACCAAGGTTTGTGAAACGGTTGCGATTATCCTTGGCTTAGTCCCAATGGAATTTGATCATGATTATAGATTATCGATTGGGACTAAGCGGCTAGGGTAGACGATATTCGCAGTCCCATGATTTTTATCCCACTATCTATGGCATATCTATGGCATATCTATGGCATATCACCACAATTCATGTGGCCAACCTTGGCCAAACATATGCTACTGACGGATGATCTCCTCCAAACGCCGTTGGATGATCTCCGCCCGGTCCGTCAAGCGCTTGCCTCACGGCGGGCTGAAACCCAGCGATGTTGGTCCCGGTGTTGTGGAAAGGCCATGGCTATGACGGTTACCCTCTGGTAAACTAACATAACTATGGAAAATCACCATTTTTCATGGGAAAATTCACTATAAATGGTGATTTTCAATAGCTATGTTAAATTACCAGAGGGTATGATTCATGATTGATGATAAAAAACATGAATGATACAAGCTATGATTATAATTGGGTATAATGAATGGGAATTATATGATTGAACGCATTGAACACAATCCAACTTGTCAATTCTTTATGATTGGGTGCAAGCTTATACTTGAAATCTAGTACAAGTTGTCAGAGTTCAAGATATATATACATATATATATAAAATACAATGCAATACAATACAATACCATATAACATAGTATAAATATAATATAATATAATATATATTCACTAATTTTTATTATATATACATACATAACGCATCTAATGTAGGATGTTTCGATTTGGGGGGGAAATCAACAAGCAACAAGTACTCGATCAAATAGGAGCTCAACAGTTGCATTTTTTCAGGGTTGTCCATCTTAGATCATCTTAGCTTCAAGGTGGGATCATTCTTATTGATTCAAACCTGTGCCAGTTGGAACGAAAAAGAAACTGTTCAGGTGCAAACATGTTGATTCTTTGATGGTCAAAGTAATGAAGTAAGACTTGTGTTGCTTGAGGCTCTGCTGGAACATGATTTTGCCCCTAAACCCTCCTAGAAGATTATTTTACCACACAACAAAGTAACAAACGTCTGCTACTTGGTGTGGCCTTCACAATGGGATGCCCGAAAATCCAATGGTTGATCATCATCTCTAAAAAAAACATTTTGGTGGGTTTTCGGAGCATACCCCATTATCAACCACCTCCAAATATCAGATCCTTGGTTCTACATGGTTAAAAAATCCATATCTCCATGACATCCTGACTTAAACAACAATGTTTTTCGTCAGTAAAAAAGCCCAGTTCAAATTTCCAAAAAAAATATCAAATTTCAGCTGATTAAACCCACAATTGTTGCTGAGTAATTCTCCATTCTTGGCAAAATCCCCCTAAATCACATATAAATCTCCTGTTTGTTGGTTAAATCTCTCCCACAAATCCATGAAAAGATATAACAAGTCCATCAGGTTTCACCCGTTTTTCGCTTCAAGCTGCGGAAATCCGTGGTGCACTTTTTGGCGACTAACTCTGCTTGCAGAGAATCCAACTGCACTAGCCCTGTCTCCTGAAGTCGGCAACCTGGTTGATATGGGAAAAACGCAACGGAAAAACAGGGTTTTCAAACACAGAAAATCACACATGGCAGGATATGGCTAAGTGTAAGAATTGTCGTAGAATGACTTACGGAAAAACTTGCTTTCACATACTTTTAACCACTATATACAATCCCGAGCAAACACCACCCAAAAAGAAAACGCGATAAATTTCGTTTTTGTGAAGCATTGTAATCATTGTATTTGTATATTATAGTCTTAATTTGTAAAATTGTACAAACTAAAAATACGGCAACAATAACAAATGGTTAAAGAAATCTGTGCAAAGCACTGCAGACTCCCTACAACTGGAATGAGTCCTGAAGTTCTGGTGAGCCATAGAGTGGTGACATTCCGACAACCGCGAGATCTTTCCAGTGATTTATTCCAAGGTTTTGGGGGATCTAGGTGCTAGTCACCCTAGGCTTACACCTACTTACTCTCCGGATCCAGGATTATTTATCACTAATCCTAGGCATTCATCATCTACTCGCCCTAGCTGCCTAGCTTACTTCCAAGTGTCCCAAAGACTTTGGCTAGCTCCAGGTCCAGAGGTCTGCCAGGTGCTCAACCAAGGTGCTCGATGGTATTGTTAACCACCCGACATAAAATAACAACTGAATCCCAAACTTCCCAAACCACAGTTTCCCAGTAGTCTGCCTCAATTTGTACCAATAAGGCCTCAATATGTATCAATAAGGCCAAGGGATTGCTGTATTCATCTTGCTGGTTGGCTCCTTGTTAACAAAATCCACCAAGTACGGCGCCAGAATGTCCACCTCAACGACACCAGCAAAGGTGAACACCACACCCCATGGCTACGATATGGAAATCAACTCTTGCAGACCTGATATGGCACTCGAAATATCATCCAAGTTGACAAAAAACACATCTCATCACATCTCAAAAAATCAGGGCTGGAAGGTCATCTTCCAAACACATCATGTTGCCAAAGAGGATCCATCATTTGTCCTTCAAATCCTGGTCCCGAGAGAGGCTATGTTCTCCACTTTTGAACCATGGCATAAGATGAGATGCAGGTGCAATTCTTGTATTGTAACTCTCCGTCAACGTGTGGTCTATGAAGAGAATCATGTCTTTCTATTTCTGGTTGTTGTTTAACATTGCTCATATCTGTTGGTGAGATCATGTCAAATAATATTGATATTATATAGTAAAGCAATAGCAATAGTAACCCATCCCCAGTTCTACCATTCTTATGGGTGGTATAAACCATCTACATATAGGATCATATGGGTGGTTCTTTATTGCTTTACTAACATTGTTGTCAAATCCAATGTTTGCTGCATCCCCAACCATGACGTTTGACCATGTCACCTTGGACGTCTGCTCTTCCTGCTTCTCCTCTTCTTGTCCTTCCCGAGAGTCTCGTAAAATTTTCGATGTGAGACATCTCGTGATGTTTTTGAAAAACTTTGGGGATTTCCAAGAACCTCCAAATTAATGTTGGTCCCATTTCCGGGGAAAGCCATAGAACACCTCGATCCTTGTGCTTGTTTCCAGGCAAAAACATGAACGAATATGAACGATCTCTAAGTTTCACAGGTTCGTCCCGTACAAACAAAAGCATCTGTCCCTGCACCAAAGTCGCCTCGCCTTCCACCCGTGCGCTTTCACGGGCCAGGTCATAGACTGAAGGTTCCAGCACATCATCGCGGCTGCCTGTCATCAAAAGAGATGATGATGTTTCCGGGACAGGACATGACTAATTTAGATGGCCCGCTGGTTCTTAAATATCTCAAGGTACTACCAAAACAACGTTGACTTAACAAAAAATGATGCCATAGAAAATGATTGTGTTATTTTCTGCCCCTAATTTCTTTTCAGTCACCCCAGGCCTTTAGTGCACGATTCCCATGACACAAACCACGCATGTCACATGTCATACAATTCAGCACTCCACATCTTCTCAAGCCCCTCCATGCACTCCAGCAAAGAAAAATCAACCACATTCATCTTTGGAACAAAGAAAACAGTCCCTTCCACGTACCATCCAAATGATCTTCGGAACAGGCTGGTCTGAAAATGAGGGACCCCAGAATCTGATGATCATCGCTTCCCCATTCAAGTGGCCATAAATTGGGCACACATGGTGCAAGAAAGGGCACAAGTAGGCGAACGCAATTGGTTTTTCTCAATATCAAATCCTTCATTTTCAATTTCGAAGCAAATATCACCAAAAAAAACAAACCATATCAGACCTGTATCTACACCTTCATTTTGTAATGTTTGAAATTAGTTTCAAGGCCAATTCCCAATTCAGCTGGCCATGTACTGGTTTGATTCCGATTCCCATCATTAACCTTATTACCATCTGGTTATTTAACATAGCCATGGAAAATCACAATTTTTGATACGGTAAACCTCTATAAATGGGCCATTTCCCATGGCTATGTTAAATAGCCAGAGGGTAATGAATATCAACCATTGTTCACCACTATATATTGACCATGATTAATCACTATTTTAACACCGTGAAAAAATCCCAGTCATATCCATGAACGGATCTCTGTCATCAATGAAAAACCCCACCGTCATTGTAATCCCATTATAATCCCATTGGTATCCATGAATATGGTAGTGAGAATAAATAATCCCATTGCATAATCCCATTATAATCCCATCATCATCCCATTATAATCCCATTACATAATCCCATTGTATATCCCATATTGGTATCCATACAATATTACATCCCATCATAATCCCATCATAATCCCATCATCATCCATCATCATTATAATCATAATAATAATCCCATTCATGGGAACCATTATGATGGGATAATCCCATATGGCATAATCCCACTACACTCTGGTAAATTAACATGACGACCCTGGTAAATTAACATAAAGCCATGTTTGAAACCACCAACCAGCCATTATAGATGGGATAATCCCATATGGGAACCATAATTATGATGGGATAATCCCATACGGCATAATCATCATAATTAATCCCATTATAATCCCATCAAAATATGATTCCCATCTGGTTCCCCACCTGGGATGGTCGTGAGATCACGCTTCTTCCCTGCTGCCACTGAGCGCATGCCACGGATGCTGATCTCGTCTTTGCGTCGAGCCGTGAGCTCCTTCCGAAAGAGACTTCACCGGTGAATGACGGGGCCTTTAAACGTTTAAAGAGAAACGACATATGGTGATCTAAACAGCCAACATATGCAGAAATTGGGGATTTAGCCGGATAGCTCTTCATCTGTTTTTTACACTTCATGTAAGTTGTAATTAACTAGATGGGATGGTGAATCGTGGTTATATCTGCAGTTGCATGAGCGAAAATGAACCAACAAACATAGCTGGGGGAGCCATCTTTCTGGTATATAACCTACCGGAAGATCTGACTGCTACTTGGTGCTGGTATGTTTACATACAGGTGGGCTATTTCCACCTGGAAATGCCTGGTGGAAATGCCTGCAGAAAAGCATGCTTGGAGCATATTGGGTATCTGTCATCTTCCGAAACCTTTTATATAATATGCTTTAAAAGGTCTGGACACATGAAGATATATGAAGCTTAGAATGGTTGGTGGTTTTGGTAACCCATCCCAAACAGGATTAGGCATCTCAACCAATCATCCCAAGCATGGTTGAAAAACACCACTTATTTGAAACCCCAACCAGAAGGCGTTTGGCGTGGCCTATCATATCAGCTTGCAACTGGATGTCCTCAGTCGTGCAAACATCCCTTCGGGATACCTTGCTACCCTCTCTTATAGCTGGAAGCCAGCTCCACAAAAACTCAAACTTCTCTTACTTCACCTAACTCTGCTCTGGAAGCCATCATTTTGCATAGACCGTTGCCTCTGCGTTTGGTTCAGGAATGCCACATCCGCCTATCCCAGCAGTCCTGTGTGATGCTGTTGTGGGAACTGGTGATTCGCTCCCGACCTCAGATCCCATGAGAGTTCCAAGCCAGACTTCCCACACCAAAATGTGCAGTGCCACTCTACCAAATTCCATGTATTTCATGGTAAAAACAGCTGGGTCTCATGTTGTTCTCTGTAGTTTTTCCCGTTTCTGCCAGCGAAGCCAGGTTTGGTGCCCCAACATGTGGACTGCATCTGCAGGAGCTTATGCACTTCCGCCTCGTGCTGCAGAAGAACAAACCAGTTGGAGATGGGGATTGTTGATGATTGTTGGGTGGACTTCAATTTGTGATCCAGATGGGCAATACATAATACAAGCAAAAACTAATCTCAGTAGATTCCCCATGTCTGGCGGATTAACCAATCGGGTAACATCAGGAAAGTTGCAATGCCGCTGAAGATGGGTCGTTCTACTGCAATATTTAAGGACTTTTCCTAAATTGAGGGGGTACTCCTAAATCATCCATGTTAATAGGATTATAAACCATCCATTTTGGGGAATCCCCCGTTTATGGAAACCTCCATTTACATTTGTTGTCGGCAAATTTCATTTCAGCTGAACACCCAACTCCCACGCAGCTCGTGGTTCAGGTCCAGTCAACTCTGACTTTAAAATTCCTATCTAAAAACCTTGCTTAAATTTCCCATGAAATATCAACCGGTCAATTCTCCCATCCGAGTTGGATGGCTTTAAATCCATTGAAATGATGATAAATGGGTTTGAATTCCATGTCTGATGGTGTCTACTTCATTCTTCTTTCATTCTCCCGTATTTTCTTATCACCAAGGTAACCCGCCTGAGTTGGTTGTGGAAGATTCGCAGGTCGTCGTCGCAAGTTGCCATCTTCATAGTGGTACATACATTGCCCTTAGGATGACAGGACGGCTGGGTCTGGTACCCATCCCCTTCACTTGGGGTCTCCATAAATGGAGGATCCCCAAAAGCTGGATTGTTTATTTCATGGAACCCCCCAGTTGTCAGGGGTTGGGATCATCATGAGCCATCAAACAGGTCTGGCTGGGAAATCCAGGAACTAAATAAGAGGCTTCTAGCTTGGACAATTCACATATAATTCATCTATACCATCTGGTTATTTAACAGTTTGCCATGGAAAATCACCATCTTTAATAGGTAAACCATCTATTTCTATGGGCCATCTATACCATGGCTATGTTAAATAACCGTAGGGTATCACAGAACCAAGGGATCGCCAGCATCTTTTCCATCCGTGCCGTCCGTGCCGAGCTTCTGAATGTTAAGGATCCAGGTTCTCGGTGATAGTCGACCCGGATCTTCCCAGTGGATGAGTAGATGGAGGTGGAACTCTGCTCCGTCAGATAGAAACCTCGGAGAAAAATATAGGTCCACCCTGGGCCTGGGCAACTAGGATGACAACATCCTGGAATTGGTGGGCGAATTGTTCTAGAAAGAAAACCACACGTTTGGATTACCAAAAATCATGAAAACAATACTGTGGATGGGCCAGCGAAATCCTGCACCACCAAAAGGATGGTTGAAACCCTATACATAGTGGGATAAACATGGATAAACCATCTATTATACAACTGGTGCAGGATTTTGCTGGCCCATCCACAGTATCAAAAGGATCCATAAGGATCATCTTGAAATCAACTCATCGACGCAAAGTGGGATAATTCAAAATCCAAACTGTATCTACATCATGCTACATCTACATTCATCTATATCATATATATATATTATAAAATTAAGTAGACTCATATCTCTAGGCTTCAGCTTGGTCTCTTTTCACTCCATGGCTTGAAAGGTTTTGTTGTTTTGTTGTCTGTGGCTCTCCACAAACACCTTGGTTTTGAAACACATCTGACTTTGATTCATCCCATGGTAGGGATCTTTGACATTGAAAAACGGTCGAAAATGCACGAGAGAGGTAATTCTAAATTTCTGATAGAAAAACAATCTATCCACCTACCCACATATATATATATAGGCTCACATTTAACAAGCAAATAAATAATCAATATATATATGTATATATATATATAAAATAATAATGATAATGATCATATACATACAAATATATACATTCATGCATGTTGAAAGTTATGCAGATGCAAATATGAATAGAAGTGGCACCCCGCAACGTCCATCCAAGAAACTGATCTTCGCAATGTCCTCGTCTGCGGGAACCTGTAAGCGGTCAATTTCTGGATCAAGAACCAATTGAGCAATGAAAAATACACCTGTTCCATCCCATTATACTTGTTGGTTAGAACATATTCCTATCACGGGTTATCACTTATAACTCCAATAAAGCAGTTAGTATAACCCTCCAAAATAAACCCATCAAGGAACGTACTTTTAATGGTTCAATTCCATCTCGGAAAGATCAAATGATTGAGTCCCTCCACATACATATCAAACATGTTCACCCCAACCCGGACGTTTCTCCATATCCGCAAAACACACCTGGACAGTATCACATACTTGTCACAAGAGGATGAACGAAAACACTGGCTGTGCGCAGCGATTTTGACTTCAGGATCTTTAGGTTTCAGGATTTAGGGTTTCGGGGCTTAGGTTTTTAGGGTTTTAGGGTTTATTGTTTTGAACATATGAAAAAAAGGCTAGCCCTGCGCAGGGATTTGGCATATGCGGTATCAGCATGGAGAAACGTCAGGGTTGCGGCGAACATGGGAAAGAGTCGTCCAAATGGATTCAAGATCCCCAAAAAATCAGCTTCACAGAATTTAAAGCCCGTGCGTATACCTGTGAAAATCACATGAAAGCCATGACCAGAAACCCACTGGGAAAATATGATTGTCTGCAATTTTCCCCTTGTGAGTTTTCAGGAGAAGGATCAAAAACATAAGGCCCAGCATGTCTGACAAAATTAAGGCATCGGGAGATCCGACAGTTTATCATTATATTTCCCTTGTATAGAATGGTCTTTTTGGGTGGCTGGTCGTCATTTTCAAACACAGCCGTGTATCATATTCTTGGTTGTGCCCAGTAAATCCGCATATCCGCTTTTTGTCTGATTAACCCCACCTTGCTGGTTTAAACTTTAAATCCCCTGAAATCCCATAATCCAAGATGCATTCGTGAACTCCCTTTTTCTTGGCTTGGCTACATCCATTAACTTCAAACGTTCAATTCAAATTTTTACTTCGTGATCCAGTTGATTGTGATCCACCATGATCCAAACATTTTTCCAACCAGTTCAATCCACATTTCTGGGAGCCACCTCGGGATTGCGGCGGAACTTCTCTGTCATCTTCTTGATTGGCACTTCACCCACCGAATCCACGGTGTAGGTGTCCTATCCAAAGGAAGGGCGAGCCGCAAGCGGAAATGAGGGTGGAACTTGTGTAAGAACTGCGGGACATCATGATCTAACGCACACATCTATACATGTTATACTGTTATACTATGCCTTACTATGCTATACTATACCATCCCATACTATACTATATACATGTGTATATACAGTATGTCAACCATTATCAACTATGCCAATGAAATGTATCAACGAACGAACGTTGCACCTTGTTCTTGGTGTTGTTCCGCAGCGTGCCATTCATCAAGGCCGTGGGATCCAGTGTCACCTGGGGAATTCAACCACCAAAGATGAAGATGCAATGGGACATGATATCAGATATCCAACAACTAGATGGATATATATATATATATATGATCACATAGATAGATATATATATATATAACATATATGAATATGATTGAATATGAATCAATAGCAAATAGTTCACTACAATTCACGGGGATTGTTTTATTGGGATTCAGCAGCCAAACTGACGAAATCAAGCATCGCTATCAGGCAATGCCTACCTTCCGAAGGATCACTCACTTCCAGCCTGGGCCAGCCTTCAAAAGTATTAATTTGAGTCAAAACGTCGAAAAGATATACCTGTAATATCACATATGTTCCTACTTCAGCGACACTTAGTGGGATGTTACTCTTCACTTTCCATCACTTTCCTATTTCTCTCCAGGTGTTTTCCATATCTTTTTGTGGCTTTGACATGGTTTCATCACCCGCATCCAACATCATACAACTATACCCTGTAGGCCGCCACCAAGGCACTGAGTGGTAGATCAAGCGGTCATCCCGATCCTCGAAGTATTCGAACATCTTCCTGCCAATCTGAACCCGAAAAGTTGGGATTTCACCAGCAAATCACATCACATCATGGGGATTGGGATAGAAAAATTGGCTTCATATTTGGTTTGTAACCTTTGTTACACCAGAATTTATATGAATTTATGATAGTTATATCTGCAAATGGGGGTTCTTTGCAGCTGTTTACGGGGCCTCATCTACAAGATGCCAGGATTTCAATTCGATTCACCAGCTGAGGACCACCCCGACCTGCCAATGATCTCCACGGAACGCACCAGGCCATCTAAGCGCGACTTGTAGAAGATCAGTTCACGGCTCAGGGCACTAATCTGCCGCATGGTGGCCGTCAATGGGTGGCTTTTTCTTGGGAATCTACCGGACACCATGGAGTTTTAACCCTCAAATACAGGGGGGGTCCGGTCAATTTTCCCATCAACCAAGTCTGGGAATGGTGGCTGGGTGGGATGTGCCTGCACAATATCATAGGGTAAACCCGATTTCATATACCTTGGTAAAAGAAAAATACCACAGGCTAGTCGCATGGGATGGGCTCCGCAACTCCACCCTAGGAAAGCGCAGGGGGAGATTGTGGGCTGAGCACTCCGGCTTTTGTGTTGTGTATATATTGATGTCAGGGGGAGAAAGGGAATGATTTCGGAAGGGGTTGTTGATTCATAAATCTGTCGGCATTTTTTTAGAATGAAAGCAATGATGTCCTTGAGGTGTCGGTTTGAGACCATTTACTGTACCAGCACAACCAACGGGAAAACACATATGTCCCTTTCTATCTCTGTGTTTCTCAGCTGGGTAGGGGAGCTTCCCTGATTTATATAAAATTAAATGGTCAAAAACTTCAAAAAACTAAGCCATTGCCACCTACCTGGATTTGCTCAAGGTGGCCCCTCCAAAAAACATATTCTCAGTATATAGATTCCGGAACTGGTGGAGTAACCAGGTGGACATAACAATTCAGATAGATGCGCCTGAAAATCGTGCCCCCCATTCCATCCCCTGATAATCCTCATTTTACACTACCCCTTAAAGTTTGCCATATTTAATGCTTGAAAACAAAAACAACATTAGTTTACAGTAACCGACTGGTAGATCCCCACTCTCAAGGATATGATCAAGAGGGATCATCCTCCCATTCTCAAAAAGAAATGAATCAGGAACACAAATGAGATAATGCCTCAAGAATGCCTTAGATGTATACATACATATATATATATACATTAAACTTATGATATTTTTTTACAATTGACAATTGATCATTCATTTTATTGATTCAATATGCCCCAGTGAAACCTGATGTTGCTGAACACCACTTTGAACCGCCTCGCGGAACTCCTTGAGTGCACCGCCCACAGTGGCACTCGTGGAGGGCCGTCCCGGGAGGAAGCGCTCGATCGTCTCCTGGAGGCCATTGGGATGTCAATGGGAGAGAATGAAGCCACTAAAAACCACCAAGTTATGGTGTAGTTTCCCATCATTCCATGGAATGTGTGGAGTCCAGTTTTTTGAGATCTAAAAATTGTCTTTTTCGTTTTTATTCGGAACAACGAGTCATTGTCCATCTAAAAACTGCTAAGCTCATCAAAATACGAGTCCCATCACGGAGACACATGAAGCCTGGTGATGCCGGTTACTTAGTACTATTTAAACCTATTTAATACATCTTACATCTAAACAAACATCTTTAACCCTGAGGTTCCAAGATTGGTCCGTCAACTCTTTTTCAGGGGTGCCATGCCCAAAAAACTCCTAAGATGCTCCAGGAGGATGCTGACAGCAACCAATAACACTGATGTCATCGACCCACCAAGCACCCAATGATATCCATTGTGTTTCCATCATATATCATGTTGTGGCCCAAATCTTATTCAATTCCATGTTAAATCCATGTAGATTCCCTTTTGTAGATCCCAATTTTTGATGATTACATTCATGTATAATAATTGTCTTCTTTTTATCTCTGTGGCTAATCTCTCGCCAAGAAGCGTTTTGCATGGGCCGACGCTTTCGCTCAATCAGCTTGTCCTGATTGGGTGGCAGCCGAATGGGAGATCTGGCCAGCCAGGAGGCCGAATCAATTGATCAAACCACGGCATGTGAGTTTAGAATCGTTTAGATACTGTAGTCGCTGTGAGTCATTTATTGTAGTTGTGTGGGGCAGGATTTGCCTTTTTCGGACGTTTCATGAAAGTGTGCGACGTTGAGCAATAAATGGCCCGTAAGTCTCTGTAAGCAAACTGCCGCACCCAGGCGCCGAAAGTGCTTGCCCTTAACCCCCAGGGCCCTAGAGCCAAGCAAACGACCCGTCGAAAAAAAAAACAAACGAGTAAATTGTATCCAAAGTTAGATGGAAGGTAAAACCTTTGACACCAGTTTATATCCGCTCTAATAGAATTTATATATGGTTTCCCGGAACATTTCCGGAATCAGTGCATTGACCAATCAGCTCATCAGCATGGCCTAAAATTTCACGTCCGTCCCAACATGGAGGTTTCACATGGATTTACCGTTGCTGGTTCTCAGCCAAAATAAATCACACATACAAAGGACCTATTTTTTTCATGGAAAGGGAATCTCATGAATTTTGGATGATTTTGGATGATTTTGGAGGTTCTCTGTCTCTGTCTCTCTCTCTCTCCCTCTCTATTGCCCTGGCTATGATTGATCCCAAACAAATGGATGGTTTACTGGACCGAAGAAGGTCACCGATCAAAATCACTTATTATGGGTGAATCCACATTACTGATAATTTGCGTTTGGCCGATATGTTTGGTCGAAATCCTAGAACGTTTGCCGATTTCATCCAAATTTTGGTTTGTACAATTGTCATGTTTGCTCAGTCACAGAACCACATAATCTACTCCACTTATGATTTGTGGTTATGTTCCCATTTTTGCTGGCTAAATTTCGACTGACTGCCAGTGAGATCCAAATTTTTGCGTGTCAAATCCTCAATTTTTGGTTGGTGAAATCCTCACGTTGCTTCCAACTGGAGGTCCCCCTGGCATCCTTGCGGTGTTTGAACCGCTCTCGGATCTCCAATGGAATTTGGCGTCGCACGTCCTGTGCTGGGGCCGGGGATTGCCGGGGTTGGCAAGCTCTTCTGGCTATGGATTTGTAAGATGATTTTCCTGACCATTGTCATATTTTGTGAGTTCCACCATCTGCAGGGTGAGATCTGCCCAAAAGCAGGGCTGTTTAATATATATGTATATATATATATTTATATATAATTATATAAGATTAAATTGATAGGGATAGCCATCATGCTCAAGGCTCAATGGGGTCCAAAAACACGTATACAAGCAAATCATCGACCTAAAATAATATCTAGATGACTTCTCAAGCCACGGTTGAAACGTTGAAACTATTTGCTGAACTTGACGGACACCCAAGCACCAGGATCGAAATCATTACAGTATCATACCATGGTCTCTCTGAGACAACCCTATGATCCCGATGGTACCGATCTAACTCTGAGGTGCACATCCCTTTCAAAGACTGCAAGTGTCATAAAACTCCTTCGGCAACCTCGAACACCTTTCTTTTTAAACCACCCTTTTCTACCCTTTGCCGGGATCTCAGCAGTACAAATCATGCTCACATGGCACTGGAGTCATTGGATGAGCTGAAATTTGAAGTGTTTGCCGATTGCCGAACACAAAACATGTTTTTTCCCAGCATTTTCCCAACAGTACTACCCTCGGATAAAACTAACATAGCTATGGAAAATCACCGTTTTTAATGGGTAAATCAACTATAAAAGGCAATTTTCAATAGCAAACTTTTTCAACGTTTCCCGGGGGCAATCCAATGAATCCATCGTGCCCATCCAAGCCCATCCTTGTAGAGGGTAATCCGCTGGACCAGGCCATCGTCTTGAGTGTAGGGCGCGTACTGCTCCACTTTGCACTTGTGATAGAAGATGGTCTTTTCCTAAAGGAAAGCATAGCTGGCATGGGGCGACCTATGCAGAACGAGAATCCCTATATATATATATTATATATTGTATATATATATATGTATCCCATATACTGCAGGTATTTGGCATGCCCATGCAATCATATTGGCACCCGGACCGACATTTCTGTCTTGAAGGCTAAGGGTTTCCCCAACTTTCTTCAGCCGCATCTGCTTCAAGTGCAACTACCCCCTCGGAATCTCATAATCCAACTGGAATCCGAACGAGTTCCAAGTATGTGTGAAAGGAGTGCCAAGTTCCTTCATCAGCAACATCCAACAAGATCTGTCTACCTTTTATTACTGAACATATTCAACATATTTAGCAATGGACAATCACCGTTTTTAAAGGTGCCACATGTCTGTACGAAAAGAGCAAACATCAACTGCTATCCCCAACTCAACTCCAGGTTTTTTTTCGTTGGTCACCGTCACAGCCTTGTATAAACTTTTTGGCTTGCTTCGATTCCGTTCAAATAGCTACCGATGATATTTTAATATAGGGCTCACAAAAAAATGGAAGCATTATTCAGCACTTTCGCTGTGAAATTCCCTCGTAGCAATCACTTTTATTCTCGGGCCCGTGGGCAAGTGCAAGTAGGCATGAAGAATCCGAAATAAACATATCGTAAGAACAATCTGGGGAACAACGTCGTCCAAAGCCCAGCACTGTCAGACTCCATATTGTCATGTCCAAAACTCTAGGCTGCTTTTGCTACTGCCACCAAAATTCTTGTATCTGTATGCAGTACGAATTGATGATTTTTATGCAATCATATGCAATCCACATGGGTAATGATGGGTCGAAACGTGCCAAAGACCATGAGGCTTTCACAGCAAAATGGCTGGGATTTCTGCTGCTCCCCCCATGGCTCCCATGGGACAAGGCTAGGCTAAGGCACTCCCTGGTAGCAGCGCGCATGGAACCTCTCCCGTGGAATGTCTGGACGCTCACTCCATGGTGATGGGAGGTCCAAAATCCTGGGACGTCGGACAGGGTCCATATCTCCATGGTATGGGTGTCCCATAGAAATAGATGGTTTACCTGGCTATAAAAATGGTGATTTTCCATGGCTAACTGTTAAATAACCAGAGGGTATATATGTATATATATATAACTACTATTGGGATATTGAGATTTTGGTAGGCTGTTGCCATAGCATAGGGCCAGCTATGCGGACTTGTGTATGACTTGGTTGCTGAGCCTCAAATGGATGATTTGTACTTTTTTGTTGGTTGAAAGGTGTTGAGTCACTATTAGTGTTTGTATGGAGACATGGCTAATCACGTACCCACCCAAGGTTCCGGCTGCCTTGACAGAACAACATGGACAACAAACACTGGGAGAGCCCCTCTTAAAATGATCTACATTCACGTTGAGTGTTTATATTATTTTCTAGATTTTGCTCAGGTCGATGTGTTTTTCAAATGGGGTCTACCCCAAACCATGGTGTTTTTCAAATGTGGAAAATGATCACAAAAACCATGGATTTGGGGGTACCATGATCTTTCACACAAACCCACAAGAAACCTAGTAATCAAGCAACTACCCAGCAAGTACCATGCCTAGTCTTTTTTTGCTTCCCGAAAGTTATTTGCTAACGATGCTTTTTGAAAGATGATACAACATGAATTGCCATCTTGAAAAATGATGAAAAATGCATATAATATAACAATCCTGAAGTAGAAACACGATGGATTTTCACACATCTTCCTATCTGACATTTGGAGGTGTCCTAAATCATCCAACCAATCCAGTGATCCATTTATGGAACCCCCATCTGTGGATGGGCCAGCGAAATCCTGCACCACCAAAAGGATGGTTGAAACCCTATTATAATGGGATAAACCATCTATTAACTAATGGGATAAATAATAATGGGATAAACCATCTAATTAACTGGTGCAGAATTTCGCAACCATCCACAGTATCTACTCCAAGATGACATCTCTTCGGTCGCGTCACTGCGCCGTGTGCTCCCCTTGGCGATCGTCATCCGGGGCCGCAGCACCTGCTCCGCGGCGGTTGCTTCACGATGCGTCTAAGCCCCGAAGGTGCTTCGGAACCAACCGCTGAACATGGAGAGTTAACGGGGATACAACAGGAAATAACAGTGGGATTTCATGGGAGTTAATTCATGGGGTTCTCAATGGAAATCTGAAGCAGAAACCATGGTTGTATCATGTTTTATCCATCAAATGATCCGGATGTTTTTCCATTTACTGTAATCATCCGAATGAGACTCTGCGGTTACCTAGAAGAGGTCGTATTTGCCCCACAATGGTGCTACTTTGACCGTTCTGATGGATTTGATGCCAAAAACAGTCGGCTGTTTTTGGACTTGAGTTGCCTCATGGATTTGGATGGAATCAGAATAATGTGGGTAACTACTGTAAAATTAAAACAATAATAAACGATCCCCAAAATCACCATAAATAGGTGGTATAAACAATTCATAAAATGACTGGCTGAAGAATCATTCAACAAACCAAACCCAAGGTTCACCTGCACTGGGGCAAGCCATTTCCGTTACTTTCCGTTTGGGTTCGGAGAGTGAAGACAATGGAAATTGCCACCAAAGAAACATTGCGTGAGGTGATTGATCCCAATACTATTGTAATAAATGGATTTAACAGGGTTTAGAATTCACGTATATCTGCAAATATCTTATGCATACACACATGTCTATATATATATATATATATAAATATAACATAACCATATCTATATCTATATATATATGTATAATCATTCCCTCCACTAATATATATATACATATATATATAAACATTTAGACTCTCAAACATTTTAGGGGTCATCACTAAATTCCAAAACGCGTCCCTGATCCGCTCCGCCTGCGTCATCCGCATCGCCACCCTGATCTCCCGGGTTCTCTGCGTCCAGCCTTGATGGCTGCCGTGGTTTCTCCGGCGCAAGAAATAGATGGAGGAGTGATATTTCCAATGAGGTAAATATATATGAGTATCTGGTTGGTGGTATACCTACCCCCCTGAAAAATATGAAAGTCAGTTGGGATGATGACACTCCCAATAGATGGGAAAAATGTTCCAAACCACCACCCAGATATGATTATATATATATATAAGTATAATGTAAATCTAGTTATATATATATATATAATATAACTGCATACATACGAACATCCTACTGTTTTGATGTGTTGATAATCATCGTTTGATTTAGTGTTTCTATAATTGATTCTTTCCTAAATGTCCATTGGAAGCTCTTATGTACAGCACCAGAGGATACTAAAGGTCCAAAGCAAACTGGAGGGAATATGCACATCTGCTGACCACACACAGTCATGCGTGCGCCAAAACCAATCAACACTACCCTCTGGTAAACTAACATAACTATGGAAAATCACCATGTTTAATGGGAAAACTCACTATTTCAATGGCCATTTTCAATAGCAAACTGCCAGGTTTCCCAGAGGGTATCCCATGTCATGTTCCAAAATCTTCACGCAGCTCCGGAGGACTGATCACTCTGAGATGCCCCACATGACATACTCGAAGTACCGCGAGTTGTACAAATCAAGCTGCACGTGAGAAGCGCCACACACCTAGCGATGCGCTGCGAAACTGCAGCTATGAAAGGACCTTTAATAGATCCAATATGGATCCAATATGGATCCAATATGGATCCAGTCAACATCCAAATCCAATGACATTTGTGCCGTCACTTCCACAAGTCCCAAGACATGGCCTCTCTACTTCCATCAGGCACCAAGAACTTCAGATAACTTCAGATAACTGCGCCTGCATGTTGACCCAGAGGTTTCGGTGATTCCAAATGAGATCAATCTTCAGATATGGGCAGCGCGTCACCGAGTAGATCCTCCCGGTGGTTGGCTCCAGGTACATGTCTTCGGCCACCTGTGGAGCTGCTGCGGTCAAAGTCTCGGTCAAAGTCTCGGAACTTTAAGGAACATCTTAGAACCATGAAAGGAAGGAATTCATAGGCTTATAATACAGAATGTGGGATTTATGTGGGATTTAACTAACAGAAAATAGGGATTCAACTAATGAATATGGAAAACATATGAAACATGGAGGTGCAAACCCAAACTATGACAGTGATACTACAATGGGATATCATGAAGATATCATGAAACATATCATGGAATATTATTTTTTTCAATCCCCCTGTTCTTATTAAACACATCCCAGAAAAAACCATGGCCCATGGCTTTTTGGGCGTGAGGACCTCACGGAAAATGCCTAGGGAACAAGATGATGACTTTTACTGGAATCTAGCTTTCTTATCCTACACATTCAACACAAATGCTACCTAAGGGACCTATATTTCTTTATAGAAATCCTGTTTACACAGGTTGATATATCGGCAAATACACCAACCAAAAAACATGCGGTGAATTTCTTGCTCAAGCGCCTCTCGTGCTCCTTTGCGCACCAGCACCCAGCAGTGAATCCGTCGGTTCTCATGTTCGTCTTCATCACCTGCTTGGAAGCTCAGCTATGGCAGCGACACTGGGCCCGGTGAGATGATTTTGACATGGGGATTTTACCATAGTTATGTTGAATGACCAGAGGGATCCAAAGGGGTATAATTATATAGATATATAAATATATATAATGGTATATATCATGGTATATCATGGTATATCACTCTGTAAATCTTTGGACTGGAGGAATTGATGGCCAACAACCGCTTCTGTCATGTCCTTCCGGTCCATAAGATTTCATGAGCCCAACAAGTTGGGGAAGCCAACTTGCCGGCTCTCCTACATGTTCTTCTGCCAAACACCTGCTGAAGTCTGTTGCTTTGCAAAGAATCATCTTAGTTTGGTGATCTGTGATTGTCATATATGATCCATTTTGTATCATATGATGATTCATACACTATTCATGAATCTCTAAAGCTTCGTAACTATAGATCTTTGTTTCACAAAGTTATTTTTTTTACCACTTCCCTTCCGTATCCACCATCTCCTGGTTACCCCCGATTCGGCGTCCCCACTGGAGGGATCATCCTCGGAATCGGATTTCATCTCCTCCTCCTGCAAGCCTCCGCATCGACGTGAAACAAACGTCGTCAGCATTAATGATATTGGTGTCACCATAGGGATCCCCAGTCCTCATAGTTTCGTTAAGCTATAATTACTACGTCATGGTCGATTTGTGGATAACTGGGGGTATGACTTTGGACACCTCTAGATCTAAGGGATATATAGGGACATAGGAAACAGGAAAGCCGGGTGTTTCTCGGTAAAGTAAATATCTCCGGGGTCACCCCTCTCCAACTCGCTCTTTGTGAAGCTAGGCAGTGGAAGGTCTCAACAATTGATCCCAAACCAGGCCTCAACTGACAGAGAAAGCGAGGATCCCCCATTCGGTGTTTTAACACAGACCCGGTGGATTGTCCCATTCCAAGTTGTTCTGTCTCTAGAAGGCACCCCCTTGGATACTCAACATCGAATAGAACCTCAACAAAATCCAATGCCCGTTTTCAACCAGGGAAAAATCTTCCCCGGGCTCCCCAATCTGTGATCTGTATACATATATAATTATATAATTGATAGTTAGATATAATCAGAACATCCCAAACTAGCTTTGAGGCACGTTTTGTCCTTCCTTTTCCCAACAATCATTTGATACAATGAAAATCATTGAAAATCAGCTTATGAAGAACAATAGAATCAATCTACAATTGTAATAACTAAACTACCATTAAGAACCATTAGCAACCCTTATAATAGTTTTGTGGAGATATGTCGAGATAGTAAAACGGTCACCCGAAAAACAGAACGGAGCTCGTGCTGCCCCAAGCAACGGGCCAAATCGGCTTCCTCTGCGCGTTTTTTGGCATCCAAATATTCTGACCTCGCAAAAGAATACGGGAGAAAGGCCCTTTATTCCTTAAAACATGTGAGATGGATCTTATGGATGCTTTAAAAATATTCTTGCGAGCACGTATATAGATGGATGCCGTAGGATTGCAGGACTAAAATCCAATATACATATTAACATATTCATAGCGGTTACTACCGATAGTAGCCCCCAAATATAGATGGATCCTTCATGGACGTTCAAGAGTTGTAGCCCATCAAAGCCAATTAATTGCATGGTCCAATGGCGTATCCAAGTCGGATGTTGGCTGGCCTTTTCTGCCATTTCTTGTTTGCCTTGTCTTGGCTCACATCCACGAAAGCACACATGGGATTGTCCATCAATGGTGTTCACTAAACTGGCTCTCTCCATACAAACAAACCTCCAAAGAACAGCATCCATGAAAACATCATCATCATCATCATCATCATCATCATCTTCTTGGTGAGACTTGTCCAAAGCATTTAGGCCAGTTGCCCCTGAACCAGCCCACCTCCCTCAACAACAAGTCATGTTGCAGAATCTGTTTAGATTGCAAGCATACTTTAAGATTGTGCTAGCCCTATGGCCCTATAAAAACCCACAGGTGAACATCCCTCAAGTCAGCCTCAGCGGTGGCTTCTTGGGAATCACGAACTCATCATCCTCCTGATGTTCGAAGCAGTAAGCCATCGCTGTTCAGCTTCAACTTCAGTTGGAAACCTCCATGGATAGGCCCGATAAGTACAGTAGATCAAGTCCCATTAAACCCCCATTATGTCATTAAAGCCCCAAGGGGGCTGCTTTGAAGGGGGCTGCTTAGTAAAATGGTTTCCTGGCTGTTAGTCAGCTGAAAAATGCTGAAAACTTGCCAGTTTCCTACAGGCCACCACATCGTTTAAAAGGTTAGAGAGCCCATTCACAATAGAGAGATAGCCAAGAGATTGTCATCTTCTAAAGGTTGAGAAGGTTCAATGACCCAAAGTTGCGAATCTGGCCGTACCCAGCCTAAAGTGTTCACCTGCAATTAGAGCATAAAAAATCACAGGCTTCAAGTGTCAAGTATATAGATTCAAGCAATTTTAAACTTTTTTTTGCAATTTTTAGTTTTGGGCTGTCATTGTTTTGCAGTATTCTGCAGGATGCTGAAGATAACTCACAGGATACTGACTTAAACTAGCCATATCTTAACAGCTGACAAGGTGAACTGCCAATTCTTCCAGGGAGTCCTGCCATTTTTCTGAGCTACTGGCACTGGCTACCAAATTACAGCAAGGAACCCATAAGAGTATCATATATGGCTACATGACCAACTCAGAAACATGTTTTAGCCAATTACAAAGACACAACGCAGTATGAGTAGTAGTGAGTAGTAGATAACATTACATATCACAATGGAAAACCAACAGAATCCTGCAAGAAACCAAAAGTGCCAGAATCTGGTAAGTAAAAAAAAACTATGTCTAAGCATGCCCCTACAAAGGAGACCCCTTGGTGCTTAAATTTGCATCACTGTTTGCTCGTCCTGCTTGTCTTCTTCCTTCGTCTCTTCTATGTCGACGTCCAGCTGTGGACAAGCACTTCGCGCCTCATTTCCTGAGCCAGTCAGCTGCACATCAAAACCGCCTTAGGAAGCCTACAAGCAGAACATCTGGTTGGTGGTATACCTACCCCTCTGAAAAATGATGGAGTTCGTCAGTTGGGATGGTGACATTCCCAATATATGGGAAAATAAAATTAAAATTCATGTTACAAACCACCAACCAAACATTGACGACAATGAAGGACTTGTGGGTTATCAACAACTTGTCTTAGATAGCAAATAGGCAGTGGAGGTTGCCAAAGAGCATTCTTTGACAATGAGGCATAGGGCTTGTAGTGAATCACCAGCATCTTGCAGTGAGGCCAACAGCCAGTCTTGCGCTGAGTATCTGGTAGTGATAAATCTGGGTGCAAAGCCGCTGACGCAGTAGGCATCATAGCCTGAGACAGTCCACGACATCTCGAAGCAACGGAACACTTCACGCTCAGGAGCATAGCTTCCCTCCTCATAACCCTTCATCCCCGACCATTTTGGTGACGAAAGTTGAGTTCCAGAGGCTTCGGGAACTCTGCTGGCAATTTGGGGTCCCCAAAAAATAAAAAATATAAAAATTTGGGGTCCCCCATTGTTTCCAGGTTTCCAACTATTTTATCTATTTGGGGATTGCTATGGGTACTGCCCCTGCCTTTCCAGACGCCGCCAAGAAACCAACCCCAATGAGCAGCGAGGCCAAAGCAATAGACAGGTCAAAGCAATCCCCTGCCTATGAGCGGATGGGCAGGGCAAGGATGGCACAAATGGTGAAGTGACTTCCACAACTGCAAATAACTTGGCATCAAATCAATGGTAATTTCAGGATCCTAAAATGGAGGTACTGTACCATATAAGCATATAAGGCTATATTTTGTGGGGATATTCCCTTACATAGGCCTTACATAGGCCTTATATATGGTAGGTACCTCCAATTTAGGTTCCTGAAATGACCATTGATCAAAGTTGCTACGATGGGATGAAACCTTGCCAAATCGATTCGCAATGAGATCACCTTGGTGGGATAGCATCAGCCTTGTAGAATTCACGTGGCCCACAAATCACAGCCATTGCAGAACATCTAAGATCATCCAAAAGTATATCCGCCACACTGGGTAAGTGGATAATAACGAAAATAGTAGCGGGACAATTTCTATATCTGCGTACATGACAATTTGTTCACTGACCTGAAATCTCGGCTATTTTGGGATAGTGACCCCTTCCTAACCATCGTTCCGGTGAGGTCGCATTGAGGTCGTTATAATCTACCCAGAACACCTGTTATTATCCACTTACCCAGTTAGATATGTTTTTCAGCCTAAGGTTTCTAAATGATTCTTTATATTTCTTTACTAAGCCAGTTAATTGAAGTTAAATCATATGTTATAAATGCCTAGCCTATCGTTTCTCCCATCAACCCTGCGGCATGATCTCTACCTCCCAGCCCCACCTGCCAGGTCAATACTGATGCAGGTGCTGGAATCACGGTGGGGTAGCAGTCGGGAGGTGCCAACTCGTCCTTGAGCGACGTTCGCGCGCGCGTGCCGTGGCCCCGCTTGGGGAAACCGGAGGCCCGGCCAAGTGGGTAGGAGCTCGGGGTATAAGCTACTTAGATATGGGATAATTCCACTTATGATGATCCTTCAAGTAAGGACCTATAACATCCTATAACAAAATGCGACAAGCCCAGTAAAACCAGTGTCAATGCGACAAGCCCAAATTGGTTGTGTTTACTGGCATACCCCTAGTTGGATGATGTAAAATGACATTTATATAACTGGTTTTCTAGTTGCTCAAATTGTGTTTTACTGGGCTTGTCGCATTGCAGTGGTTTGAAATGCTGGGGATGCTCCTGAGAATCCCTTTGATATTATAGTGGCTGGTACTAAATTACCAACCCAAATCATCGCTAAGCTAATTCCTCCATTTTTCACCATCTGAAATTCTGGATCAGAATCTAAGTCCCTCACATCATATCACTTCAAGTCCAAGGCACATAGTTGAAGAAATCCGCCAGAAATTTGGTACATGACTTGTACTCGTACAGCTCTTGGTACGGCAAGTGCCTGAGTGAGTTGAGCATAAGTTGATCCTCCGATGCTGGTTACATGTGACAACATCTCCATGACTCTGCTTGGTGAGATACCCAAGTTTCACAGTTGCATCAGTTACTTCCCAATTGTTCCAATTTCATCCGCAAATATCAGGTTGTTGGTGAACTATCCCAATTACATTCCCGCTAAATCCCACGGCTTTCTCCACTAGTCACCATCTTACAACACCCCAAAAAGATTACAGAACAAGCAATATGCCACCTTTTTTCAACAAAAAGTGGTTCAACATGGTTCAACCAGTCTTGGAATAATACCCTCATTAGTACACTTAAATAGACTACATATTCATCATATAGTATAATCCCAATTGACTTTTCGATCATTTTCCGGGCCCAGAAGAAAAATCTCATCCAAGTCGCGTCGGGCGGATGGTGGAGGGCAAGAACTTGGGCACACCGTACCTGCGGTATATCCCAACTTATCGGGGGTTAGACACATGAAAACCATGAGATATGTTATAACCATACCATATTAACCATGATATTAACTTCATGGTTAGCTATGTCGTATTAACGTTCTATATCATATATGTTATGGATTGATGAAATGGTAGTTCAAACCATTATTTATCAAACATTTTTCACAATAAGTTCTAACGATGATATGATATGAACTATGGGTAAATCCCAACCATATTGGGGTTCTACCAATCCATATGTAATTAAACAAAAACATGGATTCTATGATTACCTGTGGTTCCGACCCCCCATAGCTGCCATAGCTCCGAACTCCTGACCGTTACCGATCCCAGGCGGCCCCAGGGTGCTCGTTGGGTGGGCAAAGGAAAAGGAAGCGATTGCCGTAGACGTTCACAAACTGATCCTCAAATTCTCTGACCTCAGAATGGCATACCTGGACCATCCTAGACCCTCAGATTAGATTGTCAGAATTTGCCCCTGAACCATAAGGTGATGATGTTTACCTTATTTTTTCTGGATCAACTGAGGGTCAAGGTATGAGGGATGACGATCCAGCTTCGGCTGCAGCTGTCGGTCAATTGGCAACAAGCATCCCTAGCTGGTACTTGGAGCCCCCAAAATGAACATATCCACCACATGCCTTGACCGCCGTGACATGCCTTGACCTTCCTTCCGCATGAAAATGGGTAAAAATAGGTGTGTATATATATATACACAGGAATTAGCAGTTTGATGTAAACATAGTGAGCTGCATAAATGACATTACAGTAGTTCACTAATCTGCCCCAATCCAATTGCGACGCGAGGTCGTTATATTTCACCAAAAGAGCATAATACTTGATATGCTAAACAAATTCCATCTTTTAAGCACATCCGAATGGAATATCACCAGTTACATTTAATTCCTATAGAATGAATCAACATATATGTTTATCCCCAGGTACAGTCTATTCAAGAAACACACATATATATATATGTATATGTGTGTTCCCTTTTATCATTATTTAGTGGCACTTCTCCTATAGATAACCACCATCATTTTGGTAAGCTAAATCAATCCCATGAAATATCTAATAACCCCAATGGAATATACCCACTTAAGCAAAGTTGAATCGCTTAAAATTAAATATAGTTAAACATGTTAAATCAATTTAAATCAACATTAAACACCTATTACAGTAAAAACCTATTCAAATCACATGAAGTCACCATTTTGCGGCATTAATCCATATTATTCCATATTAATTGAGATTTTTATGGTGATTGATTCCTCCATATTTTGTGTGAAATCCCCATACTTAATGGGAAAACTCTCCATTAAAATCCTACAGATTTCCCAGCTTCGGTGGCAACGGCCAAGGGACATGCTCCAGGAGCAGTTCCTCCTTGGGTGTGTTACCAACCTGGTCGGAACTTGGTGGACCATGCAGTTATGGTTATCTATTATTAGCTATAGCCTATAGCTGGTTATTTCCATGGGGTTATACATTCTATAAATGGGGTTATAAGTTATAAGTACCTATAACTGGTATTTCGGGCCATAACTGGCGTTTTTTCAGCTGAGAAAATGGGATTTCGATTTCACCAAGCTTACGATGTCAACTTGGCCAGTTGAGTTCCATGATTTACCTACTAAATTGATATATTTTCCATAGCAACATGTTAAATTCTCACAAGTATCCACAGGGTAGCCAATCAGAAATGGTGATCTGGACAAGGAATATTGCAGAATAATTGTAGATGTTTCGCCTATTGCAATTGCAACTGTTTTTTGGTTTCGTCGTCTATGTTTGATTGCAACAGGGTATGGTCGTGGGTCGCCCCCTTAGTGCTGGTGGTTGGCAAAGATGCTGAATCATAGCAGTTTTTATCCCAAACATCTACCTTCCCTTTAAAACTTGAAGCATTGCAAGTTGTTCCTACCAATCTCCCGACATCAGCCATTGGTCCGTGAAAAGATGGTTTGCACACAGTCCTCCACCTACAGCAAACCACAATTAATTCACTAATGTAACATGCATACAGCCCACCAAAATCATCCATCAACTCCCCACTTAGCCAATACTCCACCACTTAGATAGCAAAAATTACTGACAAATTGACACCATATATTATTGATCCGAGCATTAAACCCAAACAATTAGCCACAGCCACCAAGAAAAAAATAGTCACATCACATCACATCACACAAACAACGTCATGAACATTTACCCCAAACATCCCCAAACAGTTGCCCCACATCGAAAAACCCAAGGGGGATCCACTGCCCCTCCAGCGCCGTAAGCGGTTGCCGGGCGTCGTAGCGTGCGCTGGGGTTCTGGTTTTCAGCCACCAGCCGTCGGCATCGGATCTCCTTTTGTGTTAGCTGCTCCTTGGCCGCCTCCGGCGGGTCCTGCCGAGGACGTGCTGAGATGGATGGCTGTGGCTTAAATGGCTCATTATTTATCTATATAGACACATATATATATATATATATATCATACATACGTATACATGCATGTACACACACACACATATATATATATATAGACATAGATGTATCTGTTTTTTTTCTCAGTATGGTGAGGTGACCTTAGCCAGTGGGGTCTACGAGTGAGGTAACCTTAGCTGGTTAGCAAGTCCCCACACACTGAACCCATTTGCAAGCGAGTCATGAAATGCTGGGCGAGTATTGCATCCAAACATTGTACTAGGGGAATGGGAGTGATGTCAACCCAGATAAACTCATGGTTTATTCATAAGGCGGTTACAGTACCAATTTCAAGAGAAATTCCTCACTATTTGGGATACGCCCTAATTAACCAACCACAGTGATAAATACGGGGTTGACAATAGAACAATGGGTGGACCCACGAAGTCCCCAAGTTCCATTCACCATCTTGTACGAGTATCCCTATATTTTCTGATAAAAACATGTTCGGTGCAACCCTGACGTTGCTCCGCGCCGGAATTGCGGAAGGGTTGCGTATTTTTGAAATGCCATGCCGGTAGAGTTTCAATATATATATATGTAGACTTGTATGTGATCCATGATCATCATGAACATCATGAACATCATGAACATCATGAACATGATGAACATCATGATCATCATCATCATCATCATCATCCTTTACGAAGATAAGTTGTTGCTTTAATCAGTTTCAGCATATTTGCCACAGGGGGTAGTGGATTTGTTGATCCCTTATGAAGATAAGTTGATGTGATTACCACATTTAGCATATTTGTCGGAGGAGTGGTGGGTTTTTGGCCCCTTATGAAAACAAGTTGATGCTATTCCTTATGCAACATATTTGTCAGAGGGGGTGGCGGATGTTGATCTCTTATGAAGATAAGTGGGTGCGATTACCCCATTTAACATATTTGTTGTAGGGTGGTGATAGATTTTTGATCCCTTATGAAAATGAGCTGATGTGATTACACCTTTCAACATATTTGTCATACGGGGTGGCGGATTTATGATCCCTTATGAACATAAAACAAAAAAGTTAATGGTATTGCCCATGTTGATGATGATGATGATGACGATGACGATGATGATGATGATGATGATGATGGTGATGATTGTAAGTGTGCAGCAGCGTCCGAGTTGGACGGAACATGTTAAAACCACAATGCAAAGAATTGTTCCAATCTCCTTACAGTAAATCATTCACAAACCATGGTCAAGACATCCCCATTGTATCCCAATCATACCCGAAAAGCATGTAACAATCATGAAACAGTATCATGAATATTCAATTATGGATTACGATATTCCTGAATATTTTGGGTAGTGTAACCCCTACAAAAAATGGAGCAGATTTCCCACTAACTATACATTATATATATATGGTACCATTATCATCGTCAAAAAATAATCATCAACCAATATATAGAAACCCATACAATTAAATCAGCTTTTAAAATCTTTAAAACACGTAATTCTTGTTGATCAAACCGTAATGTGGTAAAACCATGCATATAAAAACCAATCATCACCAATTTCACCAGAAATGGGTTGTAGAAACCCTCCAGAATTGGAGGTTTATTGGGTTTATCATACTATCCTCACTGTTTGATTGGAAAACCACTTAAACATCCCATAAATATCCCATGAAAATCCCATTCCCTCCAGCAAACATGGCCACTGGAAATCCACTATGCATGGAGGTTCGCTGGGAACATCAACCAGCCACGTTTGATTATTGGAAGCTACACTCATCTTGATGGTGAACCACCTCAGGCGCCCAAAAATGATAAAAATGGCTGTCCTCTGCCGGCGGGGCCGGCAGAATCGTGGCATCCATGGCTGCCATGGCGCAGCTAAAACAGCGGCCGTCTGGAGGTGTGAAGCCGAGAATGCCAGGAACGCGTGGATTTTGTCGCAAAAAATGGTGATGTTTATGTTTAAAGGATTTTAAAGGTACATTCAACAAGTTGCATAGAAATCCAAGAAAAAGGGCACCGGCTATGGTATTTTCCTGTCAATTTTTGAATGGTCCGTGGGAATGGGGATGATTCTCCAACCAAGCATGAGTTTGCCCAGAAAGAGTGTGCATGATTTGAAACAGCAAACAGGGAAATACTAATGACTAATGATCAAAACAATGTTCATACAGCGAATTATATGAATTATCTTGGGACACTCATCTGATATCAAGCTTAATTATATGGTTCACAATTTCGTCAAGATTCGACAGGCTCGCCCTTTGATGATGTTCTGGTCCAGTTCTGGTTACTGATGTTGCTGATGTTCCCAGACCTGATGATTCTTCAGTTCTGGTTGAATTTCATTGGTCCCATTCAGAATCACATTGAAAAACATTACATACTCCTCAACCTCCGTACTCAATAAAGAGGGCGTGAACAACAGCAGCAAACGCATCATACACATCTAACACGAAGTGTCAAGACCCATGTGCGAAGCCCAGGGAAATAATATCGCCAGCATTGTTTTCCGCACGAAAAACAGCCGTCCTTCTCTCCTCAGTGGGGGTTTGATGTGTTTTCGTCTTTGGGGTGCCCTTGCAGTAAACCAATGGGTTTCTATCTAACATGTTCTTATCATTTCTAATCCTATGCTACCACATGCTACCACCAACCAGGGAAAAGTGTTGGTATTTTTTAGGCACGGTAAGAACATCATTGACCGTAAGCTTCGTTGCATGGCTGATGTCAAAAACAGAGAACATTCGGGAACTGTTCCCTGCATGCACAAAACATTTTGTGGAGGGATGGCTCCGTGTCATCTTTATTCTTGGGATATTGGATCATAGATTCCAAGTCATCCAACAACAAGGGTATGGGTGAAAATTGGGTACCTCAACAACTAAATGTCACCCATCACATGTCCCTGGCCACGTGTCTTCAGGCGGTTGGAACCGCTTGTTGCAGAAACGCGGGCGCCGTCGTCTCGTATGTGGCTTCGAAGGTGGCCCCTGCCGCATGCTGCGGTCCTGAGGCATCCCCGGATGGTATCATTGAATCAACGCCTAGCCATGAAATCCCACCTACCCAAGGGAGGTGGGACCACATTGAAAACAAGACTGTTGAATAAATATGATAATATCAAGGTATATCAAGGTTACCATTTTATACTTGGAAAATCTTGGAAATGTGAATGTGCATATGAAAATGGAAGATTCTTCATTGCCAAGTTCTTTTCTCCCAGGAGGGCAACACAATCTTCCATTTTCATACATACAAATTGCCATCTTATTTTTATTAACCCCAAAACAATATTCTATGAAATGGATGATTGCTATATGTATGTTAGTTGTTTCAATAATTATCCATTACAATGGACATTATGACTATGATATTGATGATTACTACTCCTTCTTCCTGGCTCAAACAGATCCGAGCGGCTTCGCGCAAAGAGTCTGGCACCATCGCGGACACCTGCCAGGTGATCGAGACCTCGTTGTTTCCGGTGTTCCGTTTCACCCGGGTTTAATGAGTGATTTGATTAAGAAGAATCTATCGACATCACATTTATAAGGATCAACTTATCATAAAGTATCTATACATCTTCCAACTATAGCAAGTATATGTACTGTACTGATATCCTAACTTCAGAGTCCAAAAAACCTTGGTGGTCACCGTGGTCAACAACCCCCAAGCTTCATCATGGAACCCGGACATCCACGGCCTAAAGCCGCCAGGGACATGCTCTCATCCAGTGGCATAAAGCTGTCACCTGAGATCGAGATCTGGGGCCAAACCTATTGGTAAACTGAAGAAGACAAGCTGAGGTGGTTTATGTATAGATGCACACCTATAAATTTATAAATAAATGTATGTATTAATATATATATGTGAAAAATATAAATCTTAATATATAGAATAAATGTATAGGTATGTAAGTACGTAATATGGAAATGTAAATATGTAAGTATAGATATCTAATGATATAGATTTATAGTAGGTTTACCAACAAGATGGGATGGGCAACTTGGTTTTCCTAGTTTATCATGGGGATATCCGTGCAGGGTAGGTATGATGTAACACAACAACGTTTGTTGCGGGCAAACAGGGGTATACAGCCAATAGTGCTGGAATCATCATGTGGTAAGTTACCCCTCAATAAGGTGACCAACAACCACGAAAAACTTTCATGGGGCAGTTGATCTCCCATGAACACATGTCAAAAAATGTCAAAAACATCTCCAAATTATCCTGGATATATCTGGATATATCTGGATATAACATGATATAACTTGGGTGACCTGGTTGGGTGACTGGGTGACTTAACGCCAGCTGATCTCCGAAATCGGCCCTCCGGGATCACCACCCAGCTGATCCCAGCGCTGATCCGGCTGCGCCTTTGGCGTGGCACAAGCAAAAGGCCGGACCCGTATTGGTGACCTTGGCGACTCGCGGTCCAAACGTCTCAAATCTGGACGTTTGGAAAGGACTAATGCTTTAGGTTGAGTTATTTTTTTGGGCAACAGGAAGGAGATGTTGGTAATAGGCTACGTGATAAAGTTCAATCCGAACCATTCCGAACCTGATTGGAAAGAACATTAGAACATATTACGAATCAGTTAACATGATCATGCCAACTGGTATAATTTTCAGGTGGTACAATACAGCCCCCTAGACATGCCATGACTAGGGCTATTGCCTACTATTTGCCGGGGGTCCCGTGAAGAATCCTAGAAAATCTCATAGAGTCTTATACTAAACCTGCTGGCTGGACATGAACATGAACCGTGGCCAACAACTAGGATTGGGGGTCTGGATAACGTTGTCTCATACACAACATGTTGGTCAATTTAGTCAACATAAACCCAGTTCTATTGACACCATTCTTGCAGGGTGTAACTCTCATGTTTCTCTGGTTACAACGTGTTATAGTAAGTGATGAAATTCATGTTTTTTTCAGGGAATTCCATGTATTGTGTTGCTTAGAATGTCTAATTTGTTTGTGTTTTTCTGCATGACACCCTGTTCTTTGTGAATCCCATAATTTTTAATGATTCGGGTCCGTCTTTTGTTTGTTCAAGCTGGCTAAAATCACCATGATTGTTGCTTAAACCACTGTTTTGTGTGCTGAGATACCATGCGCACAGTGCAAACAATGCTAAATCCGATATTTTCCCGATAAGACATGTGTTCATGTCAAACTCCGTTATTTCGTACTTGGTGAATCCCACTTATTGTTGGCGCCACCTGGATATCCATGTTTGATGATATGCAAGGTGAGGCCCCCTGGTGATAAAATGATTTGTAACATTTTATAACCACATTAACTTTAACCAAAGTTAAATGTCAAAATCCCCAGCTTATAAATGTATACATTTATGGTGGAGACCCCATACCCTGTGGTAAACTAACATATGGAATATGGTCATTTATAGTTGATTTACCTATTGAAAAGGGAGATTTTCCATAGCTACTGTGCATGGAAGAAATCACCAGTTGATAGATGGTTTATCCCATAATTAGTCCCAGTGTCTACAATGTTTTCTGTCGTTACCATTACCCTTTGGTTATTTAACATAGCCATGGAAAATCACCCTTTTTCATAGGTAAACCATCTATAAATGGGCCATGTATACCATGGCTATGTTAAATAACCAGATGGTAGTTACCAAGGGTTTTTTTCGGATTTACCATCCACCTGGTATGCTGCTTTTGAGGGTCCACGGTGATATCCCCAGCTCCTCCTCCACGTCCCAAGCGTCATCCCCACAGGCACGTCGCAGTCGCATCGCCAGAGCAGACACTGTATCTGTGGAGCTTGCGGCCAACCTGGAGAACGACATCCAAAATGGGGGTGTAGCCTCTGACTGGTCATCAAACATGGCTGGAAAACCACCGATAAAAATGGAGGTTTTCATGGTTTTTCTTTAATGCAAATGGATCTTTGAAGTTGTTTAATGGGAAAATCCTCTATAAATGCAGGAGAAAGCTGGGATAATCTTCTATAAATGGTGGATTTGCAATTGGTATGTTTGATTGCCGAAGGGTGCCCTCTGGTAATTTGTTACGTAGCCACGGAAAGTGGCCGATGTTCATAGAATTTATAGATGACTCACATAGTAAGAAAGGTTTTAAATTGTGATTTTCCAGTTCGCCACACCTTGAAATTTCCAAAGGGTACCCGAAATGGCAATAAAAACATGGTGTACTGTATGGTTTATGGTCATCCATCCCATGATGTGGGAATCCTATCCCCTACCATGGGTATCCAACCGTTTAATGTGGACAATGATGATCAAACCATAGAACTTTGCTGGTTTCTCCTGACGTTTTCAAACAACCCCAGATATCACCAACCCTCTGCGAATTTGTCGCGTAGCTATCGGACTCAATGGACGGTTTCCATAAACTCTTGAATTCGTAAAGGGGAAGCAGGGTCGCTGGCCACCTCAAATACGTTTGGAGGCTAAAATGGGCAAATAAAGTGGTTGGAGCAAGCTTGATAATGATTGCTATATGGGGAACCAGCCAACTAATAATACGCATTTCACCAACTCAATGGCTATAAAAGGCTAAAACACCAAGACAAGTGCTATGAAATCAACTGAATCCAAGAATCGTTTGGAATTCAACCAGCCCAGAAAAAGTAGATATCACACTCTGAAAGGATAGAAATGGCAGCTTTACCCCATATTAGAAAAATGAGATTCAAGCACCCCGGACAAGCATCTATCAATGGCCTATAAATTGTGATTTAACCAACAAAAATGGTGGTAAACATATAAAAGAACAACCGTTCTTTGATCGTAAGAGGGCCTTTTATGGGATATAATGGGATTGAAGCAGCAAAAATGGGATTAGGGATCCCACAGCCCACAGCTTGTCTCAATCTGTCCATCGCTGTCAGGTCAGCCACCTTTATAGAAGGGGCAATTTTCCATTGGGATTATCACTATATACTTTCTGAACCTCTATGATTCATAAACTGTAGCTCTATCAGCCAAAAAACAGGATTTAACATCTTAACATGCCCAATGGAGAAGTACGTTTGACCGAAACTTTGCTTGGATGCGGAATATGTTTGAGAGGGGAAGAGGTTTAATTGGTCAAACATATTCCGCATCCAAGCAAAGTTTCGGTCAAACGTACTTCTCCATTGGGCATGTTAAGATGTTAAATCCTGTTTTTTAGCTGATAGAGCTACAGTTTATGAATCATAGAGGTTCAGAAACCAATGGAAAATAGCCCCTTTTTTCGCGTATACGTGTATCTATTAATTTGTTGACCTGGGACAATGCACCTTCTCCAACCATAAAAGGATGGTTCCAGTAAAATAATATAGGCGTGAATGTTATCTTCATTCTCTGCATCGTAGACTTGCCGTTGCCCCAACTGAAATGTTATGTGTCCAACCACTCCAAATCACCCAAAATGAGGATATTCCCCCAAAGACAAAATGGCCAGGCCCAAATGTTGCCGGGCAACGTTAGGGTTTGACCCTTCAGGGTGCAAATCTGCAGCTGCAACGCCATCGTTGCAAGTTAGCTGCCCGCCCCCTTGAACACTGCGAGGTACGGAAATCCGCTCGTCAATTCCCATCTGGGAACCCCAATGCCATAAACTTAGCATGGATGATTTATAGCCATAAAAATGGTGATGACTCAATGATGACTTGGGGACGGTTCATTATTGGCCTTAACACACTACATCTCATACATCTGGGCCAATCAGACCAATTTTTGTAGCTGGAAATAGGCGCTCTGCAGAGCGGAAACTTTTGTGAACATACGAATTATGGAAGGGAGGACAAACATGAATGAGCGAATGAATGACTAGACCCAAAACAACAAACGCATAAGGGAATTAAATACATATACTATATGCTATTGTATGATAATGTATTAAGGAAAAAAAACGTGAATGAGGGTATGAAACATGCGCAGTCTGCTCACCATTTCCCAACTTTAGGCTTCTTCCCTACCTTGCGTGACGTTTTCGGGGACGTTTTCAGGTTCATCGTCTGGAAATGTCTGGAATGCATTGGGGATACCATGGGATACCAAAATCAGAAACCTGGAACTGCAAGTGGAACTCTATGAGGAGCAAACATCTCAACACCCAGAGGATTCCTATCAGAACATGAATCCAGTTGTGCCACATCAGAATCAGTGGAATAGCTTTCTCCCCAACACTAAACTAGTCAGGATTGCTGGGGTCGCCAGAATTTTTGAGCCATGCCCTCATCGTAAACAATCCTGAAACCTTTTCAAAGCTGCTTCACGCATGGGGTCGCATGCCACGGCTATGGACGCAGTTGGCATTAGGCCGTTCCAAGGGCCCCTGGCATTGCCTTCAAGGGTCCCTAAACTACGCTTTCACTTTTCGCAAACGTAGACCACATTGTAGTCACATGACATTCCACCTCGGGATTTTGCACATGGCAACTTATCATCACTTACGCTACCCTCAACATAAATAAGGTTGTGACAAGCAAAATTAGTGTATCTGAGATATCGTCTATGTCTATATCTATACACCTGATTGGGAAAATATTTCCTGAAGGGCCCGTGGATAGTTGATGACATTGCGATTTGCGGTTTGAACCCATCCCCAAAAAGGTCCATTGAGAAAATCATCTCAAATGAGAACATGAAAACATATCACCCTGATATTTGAACATAGTTGCAAAATGTTGCAAAGATATAATTACAAATTCAGATAGCCTCTGGCCTTTTCCAACATGGCAATTCCCTACCTCCTGGATGTCCCACTGAAAAACTGCAGTTTCCGGTGAACAAAATATGTTAACATCTTCCAATCCCACATATATATATATATGATACATTACTTACTGGCCTGCAATATATATATATATATGTGTGCGTGTGATACATTACTAGCCTGCATGTTTTCACAAACCAAAACCAACACCTTCAATCAAATGTTCTTCCGAGGGAAGATTTGTCAGCTCTTTCGCCGCGTGCATTTTAGGGAAATTCTATCTCCTTTTCAAAGGCATCAAGGGTTGGCACCTCGAATAACATTTGTGGCTTCAACATGGTTCAGAAGTTCAAAATGTTCAAATTTCAAATGCAATTTGAGAAGATCATCCTAGAGATTCTCCCACACATCAACATGTTACCCTTTCACGCCCTTGATGAATTGCGGGTAGAGGGCCCGATGAATCTGTTCGAATTCTGTCAGATCATCAGTCACTCTCACCTCAGTGCTGGGCCTCTCAAGTCAGGTATATCTTAAGTGCTGAGGTAAAGGTAGAGATATCCTCTGGTAATCTAACATATCGCTGAAAAGTAATAAATTTCAATCAACATGAATCAACATTGTAGACTATAGACTTGTATTTACTTGTATTTGCTTGTTGGAAGAGGGCTATATGCCAAACGCTCTCAAACTTCAACTGGCGTGGCACTCCTCGAAACTCGTTTGGCCGAGTAAGTTCTGGCAGTCTAAACCAATCACTTTTTTCCGTCCCCTCACTATGATTTGCTGGTGCGCCCATTCTTATCACGGTAATGATACTACCCATTGCTGCCCTTACTACCCCCTTACTCACAACGTGAACATAAACAACATCAATCTATGATTCCTATGGGTAAGGGGGTAGTTAAGGGTCATTCCCATGATTGAATGACCCATTAACCCATAATGATTGTTAATAGTTGTTATGGCTCATTCCCCCCATTCCCAAGCCATCTCCGCTCAGCTGAGCTGAGTCCTCCGAACTGTTTGGACGATTGGCGAGTGACTCCTGAGGGATGTGCGTCTTGGAACTGAGTCTGTTATTCAAACACATGTAGACAAATAGATACAAATATACAAATATATAGTAGAATCTACGGCTTTGGAATACTAACTAAAACGTGTTTCACTGATAGAAGTGTAAAATCCTGTAGATTACATCAATGCCACCATTCTTGGGCGCTAAGTCCACCATCCACGCCGCAGCCCCTTTGTGCCGTACCGGCGGGTGAAACCGCTGGCGCCTGATTCTCCTCTGTTTGTCATCAGGGGCATCTTGCTGCTCAAACTCATCGCACGACCTCCAATAAAAAGGTGAAGCGCTGTAGGGATTTTTTGAACCTCAGCTAGCCCCAGCTATTGGTTCTTCTAAAATCTAGCTACCCTCTGATAAACATCGCCTATATCGGCAACTTATCATCGTTTTATAATTGTGGTTAAATGATAATAATATGATAATACGCATCATGATGAGATTAAAATGGTGTTTAATGTTGTTTAATGTGGAAATCATAGGGATAATCTTCACATATTGGTATACCCATGGAACAATCATAGGATATTCTTGACGAGGACGCGTGAAGTGCTACTCCCAACACCTCGAATTGGATCGGACTCGGGTGGTAACTGGTTGATAAGCATTTACATGTATTACAGCGTGTATATATATATGTATATAGTAACCCCCAAATCTATTTGAGTAGGATTTGGCTTTCCCATTTCTTTTTCTTACAGCTACTACTGTATCAGCTAGTCAGCTAATCCATATCTCATCAATATGCACTTTCCCGATCTGCCGAAAGCCGTTTCGACCAGCCGTCCCGCCCTCGGGGCCTTCAGCAATGTTCGCTAACGCTAAGGGGCTTCGTCCTCTTTGGGATGCATCTCCTGAAAGGTTCCGTCGCTGGTCGCTGGTTTTCATGGACTCATATGATGAAATATGGTGGTTACACACAAACACAAATATATATATATATATATATTAGATAGCATTATATAGCTATATTGTCTTGTCTAAATATATGTCTATGTCTATATTCAATATTGAGAGTTATGGATGCTCATCCTCAAGTGTATGTATATATATATATACATGATTATAATTGCACATTCTATGGTAATGTTATGTGACGCTTGGATATATTGATCCATCCTGATCTTGGAAGAATAACCACACAAAATAAATGGCAAACCATGTGGCACTTGACCTTGTCCCAACCCTTGTGACGTCCTGCTGTTGTCCTTAGCACCGGATGAGACTTGAAAGGTACCACAAAACATGCCAAATCTAGATTTGTTGCTAGCAGCGATTTGTTGCTTTCAAGTGATATCAAAGTTGGCGACCGATCTATATATCTGAAAGAACCCACGGCATATTTTCATGCATACTGTATAATCTGTATAGGATGCATTCATAGAATATAATTCGACTGGAGCATGGGTTTGTCTGAAGAACAAGGACTGGCCATAAAATGAGATAAATCCACCAAAAAATGCTCAAACCTGCATGGTCATGAAATGACCAGCCAACCACCTTCTGTGCAAACCACCAACAGCAGCCATTTAGGTGAATCAACGAGCGGCTGGCGCGAAGTCGTCACACCAAAGCCTGCAGAGGGCGCTGTCACCAAACTGGGTTTCCCCGGTGCCCTGCATGAAAACCTGGGATGACACCGGGAAAATAGGCATGTATTTTTCGAATTTGTTTTGCCCTCACTCTCTTCATTGGATATCGATACTGACTCCCTAATTATCAGCTGCTGCGCCCAATTCCACCTTGTTGCATTTGGAGCACCTGGAGCCAGCAGGATCTCAGGGGGGGTACAAGGTACCATGGTGGCCAGGAAGGTCCTTGTCGCTCCAAGGATCTCAGGGGGGACATGTGACCAGTAAAGTGGGGTAGCCTCAACCTCCGCGGTGCAGGGCTGAGGCTTGTACCGGCACCATCATGGAATTGTTGTTTCCTGGAAGGGAGGATTCACCCTCCGGATCCGGACAAAAACCAGGCTCATTTTCTGGATAATTTGCTTTACCAAAAGGTATCCATCATCTGGAGGAATTCGGGCGCTTGGCAAACATGCCCTACTGTTCTTCGAGAGGTTAAGTGTGGAAACTCTTTTTTGGCGGCAAACAGCTCAGTCATTTACATTCCGAGTGCTAGACATTTACGACTTATCACCCAAAAATCTAGATTCCAAATTAGCAGGAAGCAGCTGGCAACAAAGCCTGACAATTGAGGCCAATGTTCAATGTATACAGTAGATCATCGTCAATAGGGTGGTTTCCATGGCCTTGCAGTAATTCCATGTTGCAGATGTCTAACTGGTTCTGCCACTGCATTCATGCAGCCTTCATGTTACCAGCATGGCAGCCTAAAATGATGCCTTCTTCCGTAAGAAAGTTACCATTCCGAATAAAACATCAATACAATGATCAAATAGTTAAGTAAGGCTTTTATTTTCCAACCATGGCTTTTATTTTCTTTACTATATGGGATCATTCGTTTCAAGTTACCAACATGGCCACCTTCAGCGTCCCCAGCTGGGACCCCCCAACCCAGATGCATTTTCAACCTGGAAGACTCCATCAACCTCACGGCCCGCGTTTTCCAGAAACATTGCCTTTTAGACATGCTAAGACCATGGCAATGCCTTCGAATATGCACAATATAGTATATATACATATATATATATATATGTATTTATAGTATATATATATACACACATATTTATATATAGTATATAGTGTGTATATATATATAAATTTATCTGGTTGGTGGTTTTAACCATCTTGAAAAATATGCGTTCGTCAATGGGAAGG